CTTTTTTTTAAGCATGACACATTTGCTTAGCACATTCATGGGAGTTTCATGTGCAACAGGGTCAAATGCTTTATGCCAAGGATATGAATGTGAACACTTTGTTTAATACTAAACACGCCAAGGAAAGTGATGAAAACCAATCAAAGAACAAACTTGCATACTTAGAGCACAAGCCAAACCACTGCCTTTCCTGCACTGCATAAACCTTTCAGAATATTAGAAAGGCACAAGCTCCATGTACAGAAAGAGGAAAAAATAATTAGAACCAGGGAGGTCTTACAGCTTAATTCAAATATACCAGTGCCAGTTTTAATACTTATACTAGCTGCAACACGTTTGAGGTCTAATTTCTAACACTTCAGTCTGACATACACATGAACTACTTTTAAACACCTTGTATTTGTATGAAAACCAGGGGAGGACTTCTCCTGACTGGTCAAAAAGACCGTTTCAGAGAAGTACAATGTAGTAGGAGAGAGACAAGTATTAGGTCTATACTAAAATAAGCAGTAGTTATAAAGAAAGACTTCCTTCTCCTCAGTCCCAGACAAAAATGTTATATGCTAACAATTACAATTATCAGGCCCATAACTCTTCGGAAAAGGGACATAAAAGCACACATCATAACCCCCCCAAAATATTCTATCAATCATGTGAAGATATTTAAGTTCTTCCACTTCACAATATTTTTTTAAATGTCTATATGAAAGTCTTGGAAAACTGTGCCCACAGGGCACGTCACTCTCCCAAATGCTGAACAACAGGAACTTTATTCCCACTTTTATTCACAAAACCACTTCAGCCTGAAAATCTATCAAGCAGCTGCACTGAACAGGGACTGTACTATTTGCCACTATTTCCTGGTGGTAACTGATCCCACTCATGTTCTTCATTATTTTATCATGGCAGCATAGCACGGGTTTTCCCACTGTGTAACCACAGTTAACTTAGTTTCCATTGTACTATAATAGAAATCTAAGAACATACTCTTTGAAAGCTGAAAGATAAGAATGAGCCATTAGTGCCTGCACAGCCTTAGGTCTCACTTGCACGGCACAGTTGCAGTTGCCAAATTATAAATCTTTATGTTTACAAAGGTAAGTGAACAATTGCTAAGGGATAAAAACAAAAGTCTTGCAGAACTACTTTGTGGTTTTATTGATAATTTGCATTTTGAACACTAAACCCCCAGAACTATGTGCTTTTCAAAATGGTAAGAATTAAATACTTTTGAAAGAATTAATGAGTCACCACCTCTTTCAATTTCGGGATAATAATTTAGGGGGTGGGAGAGAAAAAGAATCCCATTTCTTGGGCATACCAAGCTAGTCATAAAAAGCCACTTGCACAAAATAAGGAGTCAGCCTTACCCCAGTTCCTGCAGATGCATTAACAAACCCTTGGAATTATTCAGCATTTACTGTGCAGGTTGGGACAGTGCTGCTCAAAACATTCTATATTGAAGTCAGGTGGGAAAGAAAGTCTAGGCATCATAGATTCTCCAACTCCACCTAAAATTATTTTGTCTACAATGTGTGTTTTCATGTTTGTTGAAGGCCAAGTGTATTTTTGCTGTATTGCAAATTCTGCATGTGGCAGCCTAAGTCATGGGGGTAGCTCTTATTAATTATTGCTACAGGATAAATTCAAATGACCAAACTCTTTTAGTAAAAAGCAAACTTTTAACTTTTCCTCTTAAAATTATCATCTAGTAGAGAGGCTGAAAGCACCACTGATGCTGCTAACATCCTGATTCAAACAAATATACATCCAATATCATATTACTGCACTTAAAAGGACAAGCATCATCTGAAACCTTTAATTTTAGGTTAAAAACTTAACATAGCAGCCTTTGAGAATCTGAAGGGGGCCTACAAAGATGCCAGAGAAGGGCTTTTCATCAAGGACTGTAGTGACAGGATAAGTGGGTATGGGTTCAAACTTAAACAGGGGAAGTTCGGATTAGATATTGGGAGAAGCTCTTCCCTGTGAGGGTGGTGAGGGTCTGGCACAGGTTGCCCAGAGAAGATGGGGCTGCCCCATCCTTGGCAGTGTTCAAGGCCAGGTTGGACAGGGCTTGGCGCAACCTGGTCTAGTGGAAGGTGTCTCTGCCTGTGGCAGGAGGTTGGAACTGGATGAGCTTTAAGGTCCCTTCCAACCCAAACCATTCTAAGATTCTACGATTAAGTAGCACTAGGGACTGCCTCTGATGCACTTTCTTCTCCTCCACCCAATAAAAAAGTATCATTGTGATATTATATTTTCCCCTCTACATCCTATTGTTGGGATGCTGGTGTCTTGGAAAATGCAACCCTATGCAGTGAGAGGCTGAATGCTGGAAAGCACCTCGTGTACTTGTTTTCTCTTACTGGGTGCGTGTGTCTACCACACACAAAATCTGAGTTACAGAGAGACTGCATGAGGTGATAAATGACTCCTGTGACATTCACTGGGGATGGCACAAGTAAACAGGAGGGAAAAAAAGAGTATGTTAAGACACCATAGCTGAAGAAGTAGAAGATTGCTCTTTTGATGCTTTTTGAGATGTATCTTGTAAGCTGGGCTGAAATGAGCCTTGGTGTACACAAATAGCAGAGTTTGCATACCACATGGATAGGATCTGGCAGTGTTTTCGAAAGGGGAATCTTAACATATTGCCATAGAGCTATTTATAGTCACCTCCAACATGCAGTAGAAATCTGACCTACTCTTTGGGTTTGACACACACCTGACACCTAGTTTTTTGAATCAGAAATTATGATGAAAGAAACATCATAAAAACAACAGGAAAAGCAAAAAAAAAAAAATGAAAAAAAAAAAGAAAAGAAAGAAATAAGCCTCCACAGCTGTGATAGTGTCAGCAGTGAAGGTTAACTTCTAACTACAGCAGTCTGACAAGCTTGCTGTTATATTTGTTGAACCAGCATGCAGAGCTGGCATTCCATATCGTCTGTAATACTATACTGATGGGATATGATTAGCTACTTAAAGGCATGTAATTTGCAGTGTGTAACTAACTCCACTGGATAGAAGGAAGCAAATTCTAAATGTACCCATATATGATGAGAAACATATCTTAAAGAGCCAGCAAACAAACCCACATGATTTCTGCAAACCCACAGCCTTTTCTGCAAATGAATTCTGAGAAAAGCTGGGAGAAGCTGACTATCACAATGAGCCAGGTCTTCTCTGAGGAAGAGCAGAATGACACTACTAAAACAAAGCCAAAGTTAACACAGGCCTTTATTTAGTGTAACTTTTATAAACCTATTTCTTCAGATCTAGCATAGAAAACAGAATTTGCAAAAGCATTGCCCAAAGAATAACATGGATCTTTGGTGTATGTTTTACCTGGATGGTTCCACTGGAGAAGAGCAGTGGCAGAGGGAAAAACTGGCTTCCAAAACAAACATTGCATTTAGATGCTGAGAATAAGCACTGTGTAAATATGTGCATACAAAGGCAAATCAAAGCCATTTAGACTTCATAATGGGGAATAAAAGTAGTATTATATCTAAAATACTGAAACGTCAGTTACTGATACCTTTGCTAATAATAAACATAACCACAGAGCTAGACTAATTTGCCTGGGCATTTATTAAAGCAACTTTTGATTTACATGGATCCCCTCAAAGGCTACAAAACATCTCGCTATGTTCTGCAGCATCTCCATTTTTCCAAATAAAAAAATCTTACTACCCAAGAAATTTAGTCTGTTTTCCCCAAATGAGGTCTGCATCTTCCCCCTGTTCATTCTGGGAACATGCCCAACCCTCTAAAATAGTGTAGTTTATTCTTGCCAAAGCTAAAGTAGACATGAACTTTCGTATCACTGGGGAAAAAGGGACCCACTAAAATGAATGGAAACATTACTCATCATTAGTTTTAAGCCAGATATAAAAGGCTGAATCTTAAGAACTGCCTTTTGTTTAGAGCAGGTGCTAGGAGTTAAGCAATATTTGACCTGCAGAAATTGGGGAAGATAATTGACCCTTCAGCTGTCCCTCAAGTGTCAAGCAAAGCTCAGATGCAGGAGATACCCAAGGCCACGCATTTTCCCATTTCTTATCTTTCAGGAAAAAAAAACAAACCAACCAAATCTTCCTTTCTTTTTTAGAATAAAACACATGCAAAAATGGAGTATAAACCGATTGTGAATTTGCCTTTTAGTTTTGAGGAAACTGATACTTGGATCTGAGTTTCACCCCATCAGTCTGCCTCTAGTTTCTTTATTTCTAAAGTAACCTTGTTTCAAGGGATATCATCTCAACTCTGAATACAGATCCATAACTTTCTGCAGCAGCAGATCTCACAGGAACACTGTCAAGAGCAACAGTAGAAATCTCTCAAGTTTTCACATGTTTCATGCTCACAATCTGAAAGGCTGCCAAAGAAATGATTATTCACTCAAAAGGGTGAGGGATTTGTACTGGATAAATGTTACACTGCCTGTTGCACTACACACTTCATGACCAAAATACAGTCAACCACAGCAACAAGTATGGGACATAGAGCAAACACAACCTGAACTTCAGCACTAGACACTGCTATGCTATAGTTACTTTTTAACAGAAGGCCACGGCAAGGGATTGTTTCATCATTATTTCAGTTGTAAGACCCTTGCAATCTTAAATGATCTTTCTGAAAACTAAAAATCTAGATAATTAAGATGGCACACACACACACTTCCATTGTCACATAGGCCACTGCTGGTCTGCAAGGCTCATCTTTGAGACCTGCTAAACCTTTCTGGAAAGAAAAGGCTTTTAGGAAAGTAAACACAACCCAACCAATTGAATTCCTCTGAGGTTCAGGGGTTAGCAGAGGGAAAGGGTAACCACAGGCTCCTGCTGTGCATGTGCAGCCTGCCGCTGAGCACCAAGAGTGGTTGCAACCAGCCCAATTGTGTAGGCCTGGTCCTCACACAGAGACTGCCAGTGTCAGATCCCCAGACCCCTTGCATTTGAAACAAGCATGACAGATGTGGGTTTAATTCTTACCTGGTAAAAATAAAGTTTCTCGCATTTCTGCCCTGGCTTCTTCAGAGAAGCATCGTTTTTTCAACCACTCAGCTTCATATTCACTTGCATGTTCATCAGGCCACGTAATAGAGATCTTCCATCATAAAATAAAAGATAATTTTAGAACAAAAAACACTTGGAAATTGCAGAACAACACCACCAAAACCCCAACACCCCCCCCCCCCCCCCCCCCAAAACCCAATGAACCCTTAGAAACTGCAAAAATTGTCATATTTAGATCAATAGTATTAGAGTTAAGCTTTCCCTGGAGCAGAATGACAAGCAAGCGCTGAAAACCCAACCTGAACATCATCCAAATTCTGACACCTTTTAGAAATGCTCATTTTCACATGAACCCATGCCCTAATTTGCTGTTTTGTGTGGGCTGCTTTCACTGCGGGAGATGCATTTAGTAGAAAGAGGAGAATCACAGAAGCTGGCACATGTCACTGGGGACAGCACTTCACCACAACTCAGGAGAGAGCAAAAATATCTTCCAAAGCACTGACTGCTTGTTAAAATAGAAAAAGGACATGATGAATGGCCAGAAAAGAAATGCCAGGAGAGAAATCCCCTAGGTTTGTAGTCTTCCCTCTTTCAAATAAATGTTTAAAAAGTGTTGGATTTTTAATTCCAGAAAAAAAAAAAAAATAAGGGAAAGCAACCATGTGGCTTTGCCTGCCATGAACTGAAAGAGCTCTGTGCGGCACACGCTGTGCAACTGAATTCTCAAGGATGTTGAGTAGGTATCAATTCCCATTTCCCATAATTCCCGTTGTACACATGATGGTGAAAAACCACTATCAGTTTAGGATTAGAGCTGTGTTTCATCAGTTCCTGAGTAAAAGTGGGAGCAGACTATCCCTTTACTATAATAATACATTTGTATATTCAAATAATGAATTTACACGGCACTAATTTTGGCAACAAACAATTAATCTGGGAGATCAGAATTCCTCATTACAGACCCTAACCCAGTGCCTGAGCCCCTGCAAACTCATCCTGCAGTAATGCTGCTCCAGTTGCTCCAGGGTTGACTGATGCATCTTTAACATGCTTAAAACATCTTTAAGTGTAAAATGAAGGAAATGAGTTTGCTTATCAAAGGACCCATGTACTGCTTTCAATAAAACCTATACAATCTAAATGATACATTAGTTTTTTATACGGCAGGAAGATTAAAATTCACAGGGAGGACAGTTCCTGTCCTCCTCTGCCCAATAGCCTCCTTTTTTATCACAAACAAATGTTAATGTAGGTAGGTAGATACAGATACAGACACTAGGCCAACTCTGAATATCTGGTCCAACTTTGTTTTGAGTGCTTGCTCTATGATGAAATCTTTTGCACATTGGAAATTAGCTAATAAATTGATAACTTTGTTATGGATCAAGATCATCACTTTGCTGTGTGTTTTTCTGATTTTTAAGCCATTTACTTACAGAATAAAGTGGGGGGAAAGGTGTAAGTGTAATAGAATGTGTGGGGAATGTCTATATTTTCTTTTCAACATCTGGTGATGAAGAAATATAGAACAGACCTTTAAAAAGCACAGTTACTGTCTAAAAACTAAAGCCTGTGTTTCTGCAGCCTCTGCATAGCATCTATAAAGAGAAGTTTCATATAAAGGTGGGAAGACCTGAGTTTCCCAAATTGCAGTTATTCCTAAAAGCTTTGTGAATAGACGGTAGGGTTTGCAGACAAGTAAATTGTGATCACAGTATAACCTGGGATTGGCTGCGATTTAACAAGCACTGCTGGACAAGTCTCATGGGAGGGTGAGTGCGGGTTTGTCCAAATACCTTTTTCCTATCTGCCAGAGTGACTTCCTTCACCACGATGTTCACGTCCAGGTCCTCGAAGAGCAGCTTGCGTGCCCTGGCTGAGTGCAGGAAGCAGTGGGGACACTGGCAGTTGTCCCTCAGCCACACACAGGGGTACCGGCTCTCGCTCCCATCCTCCCACTCCACACGGACCAAGTGACCCGCATCCAAAGCTTCCACCTTCAGTATCCCTGGATTCATGCTGAGCGGCCCGGCAGCGTGGGGCCCCTGAGCCGCGCAATGCCAAGTGGACCCAGGGAACAGGGTCCTGCTCTTGTGTGCCGGCGGCAGGCAGCATGTCCTGCCCCTGGGGACTTTGGTCCTCAGCAGGACGTTAGCCACCGCCCTCCACATTCCAGGTTCTTGAATGAAACTGTCAGAGGAAGAATGCCTTGGAGCAGTTCCTAAAGCACCATGAGGAGCCATTTGTTAGTGAAGGAGAAAGTATAGCCAAAAAGACCATTTTAGGATGATTTTACTCTCCCTTCCTGCTACCTAGACCTTTAGGAATATTCATTATCTGTTGCTTACACTTTCTGAGGCACAGGGGGTGTACTCAGACCCATCTACTCAAAAATCCCTTAGTTTAGCAGGGCTTCAATTTGATTAATCATCTCGGCCATCTTTTGTTTCTGAAGGCAGTTCATTGTGTGTTACACAAATACTGTCTTTCAGAAAGACACCTCAGGATGATTCCTACAAACCAAAAGTAGGAGCTATTACCAGCTGTGATCAAAAGCTAAAGCCTTAATGTACACATACCTTAATTCCTGCTGTGGGTACTACAGAAAGGATAACACAGAATCCACCTCCTTGCAAGGAAAAGCTTTGTAATCATGACTTTAGCTAAAGCAAGAAAGTTCTGCAAGAGTTCTTTCTCCTTGCGCAGCCAGACTGCTTTCTATAGATAAAGTCTTTTATTTAAAGCTAGCTGCACACTGTATTGCAGACAGATGATGTATCCAAATCTTAAATTAGAAAAGAACTTCTAGTTAATTATTGTTTTCTTATTCAGAAAAATACTTGGCCTCCCCCTGAATTAGTTAAGTCATTATGTGTATCTTTTTCTGTTGTTCTTAGGCTCACAGGGCAAAATATTGATCCCTTGCTAGGACCAATGTCTCCCCACTTGTCTTTGCATAGGGAAAACATCAGTGGCTTCGGTATTTTGACTCACAAATACCTACTGGAGTTATCAGTATCTAATATTTAACTTTACTACAAGTTAGAACAATGTTATACAGGACCCTGGGGTCTGCTTTTATTTTTATTCAATTTCATTAAGTATAGCAAAGTTTTCTTTTGTTTGTGTGTGATAGTACTATTGGAACCCAGTAATTATCACCTTTCTCTTGCAATGCAGCCCAAGACACAGATACACTTTTGTGTTACAGACTTAAACACCTTCTATCCAAAAATGAGTCCATATCCAGGCTGTCTTTCCTTTTATATAGATATATAAATACATACACAGACACAGATATGCATATATGTATGCATAGCTCCACCTTAATTCTAAAGCATTTTTCAAGTACTGCAATTTTCCTCCTATCTGTAAAAATATTTACACTGCAAGGTCAGCTGCAGCATACTCCTGAGATTTCTTGGATAAAGGTTTATTATGTATGACTGCAAAGATGTATTACGTTTTGGGTTTTGGACATGTGATAATAGGATACTTACTCTAATCTCTAATCTCGCTAAACCAAAAGACAACAGCTAGAACACAATGAAAGTTTCCAATAGACTGAAACTTTAGAATATCTGGTTTAAAGAAAAAAGAAGAGGATAACAATTTTAACATATCCTAAACTTCTGCTACATCTGTTCTGGTTTCAGGATAGTTCTCTCTTCAAGGCAGTGAGTTTCCTGATGAGAAATGCGTCAGATCCACAAATAGACTTAAGAAACTAAAATATAGTTTAGATGAAATTAGAACAGTTAAAATGCAAAAACCATTGCCTAATTGTTTAGGCAACTCAGAGGTTGTTGACTGCTGTCCTTCTGCATACAAGACTATCTGAATCCCTTAAATGCTAATACTACCCATATCCAAGGTTATGCAGACAGAACTGAGTATCCTTGCATGTACTCCTTACCCAGCTCACTGATTGGTGCTCCTCTGCTTATTAGAGGGGGCAGGGGAAATTCTGAGAACTGGATATACATAATATACACCCAGTAAAGTCGTTCATTACCAAATTTGTCCATAATGTATTTCGTATATTCATAACATTCATCTATATCTAATAGCTCAGGTACCAGGTTTGTACAGAATTTTCTCATCTTAAGTGGCTTGCAAAATAATTTCAATATTATTCACATGCTTAGTGCTTAACCTAAGCAAAGGCTCTTCTTTAGCTTCAGCATGGAGTTTATAACTACCTGGATGTTGTATTTGAGCTTACTATAAATATTTTTATACAAAATGGCAAAAGAAAAAGGGACAGGAAATAATATTTAAGCATTTACTTTCTGAATGTCCTTGGGGAAAATTCGTCACTAAGTTTAAAGTCTTACGTGAAGCCTGCCAGATTCCAAGGGCTTCTAAGTTTTCCCTATTTTACCATTCAATTAAGAAATCTGAATTTGCTTCTGAGAGCTTCCTCATAGTATTAGTGGTAATAGAAAACCATATTTTTTTTATGGCAAGAAACTGAGGTGAGTTTGCAGTCTTCCTATCACAGATGTTGTTTAACTAATATTTGTTCACTTGGTAATGGGTAACTCAGTCATGCAGAAATGCATGTCAAGCAGAATCACTTCTAAATCCATGGCAGTAAGTTTTGTAAATGCTTTGGAACAAAAGGTCAAAAAACCTCACAAATGCAACCAATATTGCTAGATGTGATTTCTAGGTAAAATAAGAGAAAAACAAAACTTCTGGAAGCTACTGAGGTGAGATACATGTAATTTTTGTTACAATGGAGAAAGCTGTAAGCTTAATGGGAATTTTCACCCTTGCTTGGACATGAGAAGAAGCTTGTGCAGCAGGGCTCAACTTCAGACATGTACCAGTGACCTACACCTGAACATCATATGCACAATCCCCAACATCCCTAACTAATAGGTGCCTGTGGATCACAATTCGGCTGACCTCAGAAACTGTTTTAGGATGAGACAAAATGAACTCTTTCTTCTGTCCACTGACCACAAATGAGCCCCAGTGACTAGCTCCAACGTGGATGTTACGCCATTGTTTTTCATATTCAGTAAGAATGCTTGCCATGGCATTAATTTTAAGATTAGGTAATGCTTTTGTTTACAGACAATCAGTGCTATGTACAATTCACTAAACACTGTACTGCTGTAAGAACTGTGGATGGTGGCAGTCCTAAACTTTACTGCCACAAGAAGAAAGTCTACACTGCTGTCAGTAGTACCCCTGTTTCACAAGATGGCAGGTTTTGGTGTAATCATTCAAACTTATTGTTAATCACAAAGTACTCTTTTGAAACACTTCCAGTCCTATTACCCAGAATCTCAAAGAGCCACTGTCTCCCACAGAGAGGGAGCTGTAGCAGGAGCTTTCAATAAGTTTAGGATAGGAGAAGATTCCTCTGGACACTAAATGTTAATAAAAATCACTACATGTGGCTTTTTTAATATGTAAGTCTACTTGGTCTACAGTTACTCTGCCCCAAGACATAGTCAGCTCTTTCATTTATGTGTGATTATTGAAGTCAATGAACTTGTACCTACATAGCACTGCTATTAATTAGGAAAGAATCAGCTCCAGTATTATTCAGTCTGCTGGTTATGCAAGAGGAAGCATCAAAATTATTATAGCAAAAATATTTCCCTCTGAAGCATTTACTATGCAAATACAATGCAGTGTTTGCATTAAACGTCTGTTTCTGTCCTCTCTGTAAAGCAATGATTTGGCTTAACCACCTACCAAGAGAAATCTCATAACAAAAAAAGAGGCTGTTTATTTTTTTTCCTAGAGTTAGTCATATCATAGTGTCATTATTAAAATGAAAACCCAGATGAAAATGATTATCCACTACACAAATAGCTGCTACAGCATGCCCTCTAGATTGTTTTATTCTTAGATACATAAATCAGATAGATCTGCAAGTCTGGTTTTTGTCCCTTACATACAGCATCACAGCAGAAACTTCTCCTTTCAGTAAGATTTTTCTCAGTCTGCATCAGTGGGGTGGTAGAGACCACCCCAGGGACCACCAGCCTCCAGCTCTCCAAACCAACACGGGGGAAGAGAGTAATCAACAGATCCTGCTGGAACAACAAAGGCAGCCCAGTGCTGGCATTCATTCTTCCTGGAGCAATGAATGACAATACATAGAGCTGGGATGAAATGTTCCTCAAGCAGCACTAGCAAGCCCCTAGCTGCCACACAAACAAGAAAACCCTGTCTGATAGTTCTGCCCATTGCCAGCATGCTGTAGGGAAAGGAAAGGTGTCCGTGAGCCAGATGGATTTGTCTTGAAATTGTGTGTTATTGCTGATTTCTAATTAACTAATCTTTCTTTATGTTGAATATGCATAGGACATAAAGGTGAGCCTTCGAATGGCAGTGAAGAATTCAAAGTGATCCAGAAAATCCTGCAATTGCACACTTAAAAGATAACTACTACCTTACACAACATCAAAGAAAACATTGCTCCCCCTGTACTAGAAAGTGTAGCTATAAATGGCGGAACTGGGCAAAATGATCATTTCCATTCCTGATCATGTGTGCAACTATAATACTGGGTTATAGTGATGTTTTCCCAAAACCTTTAGGTTAAGACACGATACTAAATGCTAGAGAAATGCAGTTTTATGCTTCAATCCCCCTGGCATCCAAGACAGCTGAGCTGCTGGTAAAGAACAAAGCTGTTTAGAGGTATGCCTTGTTATTCCTGTTTTGATTTTTACGTAACAGTAGGGTGCACATCTCAAATCAGTGGATACTAAATTACCACCAAGAGTTCCAGGAGGTTTCAGCCCTTTTCCCCTCAAAATTTCCAGGCAGACACTTATCACTGTGCTGCTATTTTACTCTTGAATTTCAGCCTGTACTAAATTACAAGGAGACTCACTGGTTTGCCTGAAGTTAGCATGTTCATAATCATGGTCAAATTGGCAAGCAACTAATAGTGCAAAGCAAATTCTCTGCGTTCTTGTCTCTAAACTACTGTCATCTGCATGAATCTGGAAGACACCATCCGTAAGTCTGCTCTCAGTTATCAGACCTTGGATTTGCATAGTTTAAAACAAATACTACCAATAGCTCCTGTGAGTCCCACTGGCCCTTGTGAATACCATCCCAGGCTCAGGATCATGGATTTTCTGTCCACATTCTTATTATTCACTCCGAATCAGCAGCACGATGAGGGCAAGCCCGGATGCTGACTAGCAGTTTGGGTTTAAGACAATCCCCACTACCTGACGGCTGCTGCTTTCAGTCCTCCCGAGCCCTCCAGTTACAAGGT